AGACATTGAACTGGGGCTGGAAATGAGGTCCTCCAGACTGATCCGGTCGCCTTGCTGTTTTGCCTAAGACATTGAACTGGGGCTGGACGTGAGGTCCTCCAAACTGATCTGGTCGCCTTGCTGTTCTGCCTGAGACATTGAACTGGGGATGGAACTGAGGTCCTCCAGATTGATCCGGTCGCCTTGCTGTTTTGCCTAAAGACATTGCACTGGGGCTGGAGAAGAGGTCCTTCAGACTGATCCGGTCGCCTTGCTCAGTCAGTCGATTTTTGCTTGTTGAAAAAGGCTTAACTTTTCTCCTTGTGAGAATAGACCGGGCTAATGTGTTGGTGATTGCATAGGGTTGACTGAGAACAACCTGGAAAGTAAAAATTAACTAAATAAGATACAGGACTCATGTTTTTGTGATCAGGACAAACGAGAGATGAAAACTTTGGATGAATGAACCCTTGTTTTGGCTAAATGCGTTGTTGATATGACATGCTTGTTGGCAATGCCTTATCTTTTGCTCAAACTTTGTCTGTCTTCTGCATTATAGGGTAGTATGTTAGTACTCGCCTTATGCTTAAGCGATAGGCAGGTAGATGTTCACTTTTGTGTTCGCATTTGTCTTTTTCATGTATGTTTGTTTTGATAGGACTTTGGCTAGCCTTTGAATTAGTAAAAATTATGGGAGCCTATTTTCCTACGGGAAATGCTGCCGAAATTTCTGCTGAATCCTTAAAGTTAGTCAAGTTTTTAAGATGACAGCTAGGATATGATATAGTTTAGTCTTTGGGGACAGTTGGAATTCTGGAAGTCTTGCTTTCTAAAGGAAGTGCTGCCGAATTGTTTACTGAAACCAAAGCGTTAGTTTAATTTCAGATTATTTTGATAGTCGCGACTTTTTCTTTTTAGATTTGGTATAGTAAATATTCTTCGAGCACACTTCCCTAAAGGAAGTGTTGCCGAAATATTCAGGCTTTCATATCGTTACCGGACGCTACTACTTAGTAGCTTAGAATACGATACGGAGTTGAACTCCGTTAACTTGACAGGCGATGTCTGCCTTGATTTTGTGACGCAGGTCATTGCTACCTGCGAGTGTTCTTCGAAGTCTTGAGGTTCATCAGTTTCTGCTATCTGATTGATAGCAGGTCGGTTTGCGACTCAACTCCTACCCACCATGATACCCACGCCCAAATGTTTGTGGCCCTGTAGGCGAAAGGCATTCCCGTGTGAAAGAAAACCAACCCTGGGTACCCCTTTTGAATGACCATCCAAAAGCTGTGCGAATTGGGACGGGCGGATATGTCTCTCTTGAATGGGGTCGGAAAGGGGTGTGTGGGACATGAATCTGGAAGAAGGGGGTTGACCACGTTTTGTGGCATCTGCGTGTGGATTTTCATTGGACTTCATGTGTGTGCAGGTATGTATGGGAGCAACGTCTCGCTCCTGAACTAAGGGTGATATGGGTGAATGAATGAAAGGTGTGAGTGACAAGGTTCAACTATGGCTGTGAGAATGACTCTCCCTGATTTCCCCCGAGACTCGCCCTTTTCTTTCTCTTATTTTCCTCCTGCCGTATGCATCTAGCAAACAGGCAGGAGTAGCCGAGCGCATGGTTTAGCACTCGACCTTAGATCAGACTGAGACTTAGCTTGGGTACGGCGAATTTCTCGTCAACCCGTGAGTACTCGTATTTTTCTTCCGCAAGGGAAGGACGAGCGTACCCCGTCTCAAAAGGGGTCTTACTCTTTAGAATATTAGTTGGACGTTGGTCCTGAGCCTGGAATTCGAGGTCCTTGTCCAGGACATCCCAGGCTCCGGTCCAGCACAAAAAGATTTTCCTCGTGAGGCGGACCTGCGCCTCTTGCTTATCGTCACCCACTGCCTAAAAAACAGGGGTGCCGCAAGGGCCGAACGACTTATCCTTCAACCATGCAATATCGTGAAGGAGAAACCCTTCACGATATTTTGCTTTCGACACTTGAGTGTCGTACGCAACCCCGAAACCCATGGGAGGTTGCACGGATGTAAGTAACGCATTAAGCGTCGTCATGATAGCAGACTAAGTGAGAACACATGACTGAACGTTATCGTTCCCATGGTAGTGGCATTCTTTTTATGTAACTCTGCGCAGACCTCGCTCAGACACATTGGCAGTTCTGAGTTATGGGTCAGGACGTATGAAAAAGGGACTAGGCTAATTTGCTTATATGAGTTACTTTGTTTTATCGTGTATCGCGTGGTTGGTTTAGGATGTCCTAGTCGACCAACGCTGAATCGCACGTGGGAGATCAACGCCCCAGCATGACGGTTCGCGTACGGGTCCGAGCTAGGCATGGACCGCGCGTACCACCTATGCTACAGCATACGAGAAACGCCCTCGGTTGGGCCACCTCCGTGATTGCAAGTGGTTCAGTAGCTCGGCGGGGATACGCTTACCCAAGGGATGGTGACAGCTCCTGCAGGTGGAGATACGCTTACCCAAGGGATGGTGACAGCTCCTGCAGGTGGAGGTAAGTTGTACCTCGCGAGACCCTGTCCTGTCGTAGGGACTCGATGGAGGTGTAGCAGGCGCACTCAACCGGAGCGGCTCCGCCGCTTCCCTTTTCGTGAAGGGACTTGCGAATACTGCCAATCCTGCGTGACGCGGCCGGGAAGGTTCCCCCAGCGGGGACCGTGCGCACGACAGGTGGCGCCGTTGCCAGGGATCTCGGCTGCCTACCGAGGTCCATAGTGAACGGACTTGGGTTCAGTGCAGAACGATGATCCAGGCAAAAAGACACTTTTCTTTTTTTTTGTGATTAGAGAAATGATATAGTGTGTTTTTGACTTTGATATTGCCGTTACGACCTACGGGAATGTCCCTATGAATCTCATCAGACCCAAAGAGGGGCCTCACTATCATAATCAGGAACGCTAAGTATTAAGACTTGTCGTGAAGTGAGCGAATTCATAATACGATTGTATGATGGTGTGACTGCCTGTGAATGAGTGTTGGACATTGAAATTAAATAGCAGGACACAACCTCTCAAAGTTGAGGTTGGACTGACTACAAGGGGAGGATGAAGTTGTTAGAGTAATTAGGTTGACCTTGTATAAGTGTTGTATATTGACAGGAAACTGATTATCGAAAAGCAAAATGGCGGACGATGAGCTTAATGAGGGCAATGGCGCGGGTCAACGGCCTGTAACGTTGGGACAACTGGTTGCTCTACTGGATGGACGTGAAGTGACGCGATCCAACATCCCGAAGGTTCGGATCTTCCACTTCAAAGGAGACAAGGTGTCAGAGTGGCTTGAGTTGCTCGAGCAAATTACTGACGAGATGATGGAAGAAGAAAATTTTCGTCAAATCTCTAAGTACGTCTGGTGGGAGATGCGGCCCGAAGTTATGCGGGTAGCCACTGAGGCTGCAGGAAATTAGGGAAACTTCAAGGGTGAGATGCAAAGACGGGATCAGTTGGGAGATGGCCTCCTTACGACGGAGGACTTAGAAAGGTTAGAGAGGTCTGATTTCACGACGGTGGGTGCTTTCGCGACGGCGTTCAAGAAGATGGCGAGGAAGGTTCCTAGGTTGGCCGAGTTGTCCCAATGTGTCATCTTCCTGAGCAACTTCACAGAATGCAAGAGTGTTTCCCTGACAAGAAGAGGAGCTATAGGGCGGAAGTTGACGTGGGAGACAGTAAAGCAAAGCTTGGCGGATGGAGAGTTGGACCAGGTATACCAGTTCCAGATGAAACAGCAACGACAAAAGTGAAAGGCCCGAGTTGTCACTGAAGGAGCAGGTATCAACCTTCAACAACTTATTGCGGATGGAATAGCCAAGTACCAAGCCGACCAACAGAAAGCGGATGGGAATCGGGTTTTGATAATGACTCAGCCTCAGGCAAAAGCTGCGAAGAAGGTGGTTGAGCAGGTGGAAGACGATGATGACGATGAAGAGGAAGAACCGGTAAAGCTGACAAAAAGTCAGAGGAAGGCGCGGAACCAGGCCGCAGGTGGCCAAGGTTCCGGAAAGAATGCAGGAGTACAGGCCGCTGCGCCGGCCCAAGTAAACGCAAATCAGGCGAGTACAAGTGGGGCACCACCACAAGGACCAGCGCAGCTTGGACCCTGGCCAGGGGCCATTCCTCCTGTTTAGCCGGGGTATAGTCCATATGTCCCATTGCCGTTTTACAACCAAGTCGGGCCGCCCGTGGGAGGACCGACTGCGAATGCTGCAGGAGGGTACCCCAGTGCGCCAACTCAAGGGGTGAACTAGCAAGGGGGGGGCCAACAGCAACAGCCGACACCTCCGCCACAAGTCGACCAACCCAGTCAAGCAGCGGGTCAAGGACAAGGTCAGAACCAGGGAGATAACGGGCAGAGCAGTCAGGGTCGAGGCAATGGAGGTCGCGGACGGGGTAACGGTAATGGTGGACAAGGCGGTCAAGGGGGTGGACGTGGAGGCAATTGGAATGGGCAAGGCGGGAATGATAGGCCAAGGTTCGATTGGAAAAATGTCATGTGCCATTATTGCGCACTAAAAGGACATACCTTCAGGTTTTGCCAAATTCGGAAAGTAGATGAGGGAAATGGCCTTATCTCAACAAACATGGACGGAGATGTCTATGATATGTATGGGAAATATATTGACCCTAAGATTCCAGGTGGTATGCGCAAAGAGGCGCTTCGTCGATTCGAACTAGGTCCGCCACCACCGGCCATGTTCCGACTCTGGCAAGAGGAAGATGTCAGGTCAACGATAAAAGTGGAGGAACTGGCTAATAGTGAGTCTGAAGAGGACATAAGGAGGGAAGAGTCAGTTGTGATAGAAGAAGAGGAGGAAGAAGAATCATATTGTTAGGGAAGGGCTATGGATACGATGGAGCGAATGGAAGACCTCGTTGAGAAGATCCAGAGGTTGAATTTGAAAATGAGGTCCATTTGCGACGAGGTGGCGAAGCCGATGGTTTACTTACTAGGCTCAGAGACGGGGCCATCGAGTGCCAAACCGGCTTGTCAGACCTTGGGGTCAACCCCTCGATCTGGCATTATATTTCGACCTCCTCGAGGGCAACCCACATTCCCGCAAGCAGTATGCACGAGGAGTAAGAAGGGAAATACCAGTAGCAGTCAGGAACCTCCGAGCGAAAGTCGGTCATGAGAGAAGGAGCCTGTTATCGACATGGGGGGCGAAGGCAAGGAGGATGAGGAGGATGAGCGGCTAAGGAAAGAAGAGGAGGAGCAAGCCGCTCAGCGCGCGAAGAAGAGAAAGACGGAAGAGAGGCCAGAGAAAGCAGAAAAAGGAGAAAGCTCGCGAAAACAGAAGTACACGGTACCATTAGAAGATGGCCTAAACATTGAGGCCTTGGTCGATAGGCTTCTAGAGGGTCATAATGACCTGCTTAATTTGAAGGATATCCTCGCCTCAGCGCCTAAGCTTAGGGAAGGATTCAAAACGCGAGTCTCTCGTCGAAGGGTGGCGAGCGTACGACTAGGAGATTTCATCCCTGTCGAGGCTCATTGGGAGGTTCCTGGGACGAAAATGGATTGGAAATCGGTCGGGACTGGGAGTGTGAACCTGAGTATAAAGGGTAAGTCGTGTAGCGGAATACTGGATACAGGAGCAGAGATGAATATCATTAAGGAATCTGACGCACTCCGCTTGGGGATGGACATCGATCGAATGGACTCAGGATTCCTCTATGGCGCAAGTGGGAAGACTCCTTGTACTGGGACGGTATCGAATGTGGTGATTGAAATCGGGAAAGTGAAGGTGCGATCCTGCTTCTTCGTTATGCCGGATTTGGACCATCCTCTCCTGCTGGGAAGGTCATTCCTTTGCCGCATTGAATCGATGATACTCAACAAGCATGACGGCACAATGTACGTCATCCTAAGTGATCCAGTTTGCGGCAACTACGAGATTATCACCTGTCACAATACAGGGTCTCGTAGCTTGAGGAATAGGCCGAACCCAGGTTCCTATACCTTTGAGGAATTTGAAGGGGAGAGGAGGAGATTAATGGGTGAAGACGAAGAGGAATGTGATCCTACTGGCGAGATGTGCTTAAGCCTAACCAGCATCAATGATGCTATGGAGATAGTGTCGTCATATGGGATGGCGGATCCCATTGCTGTAGAGGCTTTGAGAGAGAGAATAGTGAAAGATTCCGGCGAGGGAGAAGTTGAGCTCGTATATCGATTACCGGCAAGGACAAGTGAGTCGGGGGTACCTCAGAGTCATGTTGCAAGCCAACTTAAGCAGGGCTCCAAAATGAGGTACAAACGCGTGACTGAGAAAAGTCATCTCGTTCCTGTCCTCATAACTGCGGAAGAAGAGTTCTACTATGAGCAGGAACGTGAATTGATACGGCAAATGAAGGAGGATGCAGAACATGGGCCGTGCCATGTCAATGAGAGAACTGAGGGAGACTTGATAATAGGAGAGTCAGGATTCCTCACTCCACAAGAGAAGACCCTTATGGTAGAGGTAATGAAGGAGCGGCATCGCGCATATGCGTTTGACGATGATGAGCGCGGGCGCCTTGATGTGGATAAAGTTCCGATGATTCGGATTCACACTGTGCGTCATATACCATGGAATTTGCGAGGGCCACGCTATCCTAATCCGGCAGAGGAACGGAGAGTAGTCGACTACTTGGATGACACGATTCATTCTCATGTAGCCGACTATTCAAGTGGGCCTTACGCATCACCATGGTTCTGCTTTATCAAGCCGAACGGTACCCTGAGGTGGGTGCAAGACCTTCAGCGCCTGAATGTGGTAATGATACGAGATGCGGGAGGTTTGCCGAACGCAGATGCACTGTCAGAATCTTGTGCTGACAGGCCTATCATTTCCTTGATAGACCTGTACTCGGGGTACGATCAGTTCCCGGTGTGTCTACCTGATAGACCTATGACTGCGATGCATACACCAAGAGGACTAATCCATATGAACGTGGCGCCACAAGGGTGGACGAATACTGTGGCAATGGTGCAGAGGCATATGGTTTGTGTTATGCAGACGGTTAGTCCACATGTTACGCAACCATACATTGACGATTTTGTCGTGAAAGGGCAGAAGAAGAAGGATGAGACGGAAGTTATGCCTGGGGTAAGAAAATTTGTATGGGATCATATACAAGATATTGCTTGGATTCTTGACATTCTAAGGGATTACAACCTTACCGCGAGCGGACTGAAGTCGAAACACTGTATACGGGAGACAACCATATTAGGCTTCGTATGTAACGAGAGCGGTTGTCGCCCTGACATCAAGAAAACTAACAAGATACTCGAATGGCCGGTGCCATTCGAATCTGTTAGTGAAATTCGTAGCTTCCTGGGGACATGTGACTTTTGGCGAGTTTTCATCAAGAACTTCGCTGAGAAAACAGAGCAGTTGAGGAAGCTTGCCAGGAAGGATCAAGAATGGGAATGGGATGAGAAGCAGGAAAGGGTTGTAAGTAGTTTGAAAAGGGAGTTCAGAGAAGGTGGTCTGGTGTTGGGAGTTCCTGACTTCGAAGCAACGCCAAAACATCCTTTCATCGTAGAGACCGATGCAGGGCCTACAACTCTGGGCGGCATTCTGATCCAAGCTGATGTAAATGGCGAGGAGAGGTCTTTGAGGTTCGAGAGTCGAACCTTGAATGGCACTGAGAGAAACTACTCACAGTTCAAGTGGGAGACACTTGCAGTTCTCCACTGTCTAAGGGTGTTCCGCAACTACCTTTTCGGAAGGAGGTTTGTGCTGCGAGTCGATCCGACCACATTGGCTGGTTTATTAAAAAACTACGCACCGTCAAACCCAACTATTGTCAGATGGCTCACGTATGTGTGGATGTTTGACTTTGAGTTGGAACGCATACCTGGGAATAAGAATCGGGCTGACGGTCTTAGTCGGATCAATTGGGATAAGTCCGGCGATGGAGGTAATGAGGATATACCTCTGGTGGATGCATTCCTCGACGAGGAGGAGGACGTGAAACTCCATATCAATGCACATGTCGTTGGGATCAGTGGAGTCATTATGCAAGGACAATCTGTTTTTCTTGGTCCTGCAAGGTACGTGAAGCGAGCGGATATAGTCCTCAAGGACTTCGTGGAAGAGGATCCTTGGGGAGGGAAGGATGTTGAGTGGATGGCTAAGCTGGCATTGGCAGAGACCTTCCGAGTAGGAGAAGATCCGATGGCTATAGAAAGTGGAGCTTACTCAGTCGACACTCAAACAAGGTATGTGGCAGATGTCAGTTTCCTCATTAACTCAATTGTCCAAGTGCACGAGGATGGAGAAAGGAGTCAAGACCCTGTTAGAGATATGGAAGAAGATGAGTTTGAGGAAGGAGAGATAACGAAGGCTTTTCGTGCAGATGAGTACGAAGGCGTCTACCGTGAACTAGGTTTGCTTCTCTCATGTGAGATCAGAGAGAGAGAAGCAACTAAGAAGGTACTCGAGATGCGACCTCGCTTTTTAGTCCGGGATGGACACCTTTTCATCAAAAATGAGGTTGGCAACCCGAGGAGGGTGATCTGCGGCCGAAATCGTCAAATAGACGTTATAGCTGCACTTCATGATGGGCCCGCAGGTGGTCACAGAGCATTTGCCTTGACATATGCGAAGGCGCGTGAGCTTTATTATTGGGAAGGAATGAGCGAGATGATTCGCAAGTACTGCGAGTTGTGCGTTCCATATCAAATAAGGGCGTCAACTATGTACAAGGAGCCATTGCACCCACGGATTGTGCGAGATGCAGGAGCAGTGGTCCATTTGGACCTACTGGCAATGCCTCAGGGAGTGAACGACTACAACTACATCTTTGACGCACGAGACAATCTTACGGGGTTTGTCGATGGGCGAGCCATTCGCAGCAAGAAGGGCGAAACATTGGTTTTGTGCATCTCCGAGTATTTCCTGAGATATCCTTTCGTAGTGGAATTCGTGATGGACAGAGGGTCAGAGTTCACTTATGGAGAAGTGCGAACCTTGTTGCAAGGATATGGCGTACAAGCCAGCTACATGACTAGGGCACATCCGCAGGTGAATGCTCCAGTTGAGAGAGGGCATACCACCATCACGAATCTACTGGCGAAACGGACAAACGACAGGGAGAATAAGTGGCCTAAGCATGTGCGCGCAACATTCTTCGTCGAAAATATTACGATTAAGAGATCCACGAAGTACGCGCCAGCAACACTATGGTATGGAAGGCATGCCACACTCCCGATAGAAAACTTTCTGAATTCGTGGAGGAGGCAGGATATGGAAAGCACTTTGTCCTTCGAGGAGTTGCTGGATTTGCGGATCAGGCAAGTTGGCATTGCAGAAGAGAGGATCCAGGAAGTCGCAGATCGAGTATCGGACAGTCGACTGGAGGACAAGGAGAGGTGGGATCTCCTTCCACAAGTCAGGAAGGATCCATTGGAAGTCGGAGACTTGGTGCTGCTGTATGACTCATCGCTAGAGAAGCAGTGGTCGCGCAAGTTGGACAAGCAGTGGTTAGGCCCATATCGCATTAGACGGTGTGGGCAGCACAGAGCTTATGAGATTGAAGAACTTAACGGCTCGCAGTGGAGAGATTGGGTCTCAGGGTCGAAACTGGAAAAGTTCAAGGCTCAAGACTAAGGTGAGAGTGACAGAAGAACACCGCGAGTAGGAATTATATCTGATTCCTCGTCTTGTTAAGTGATACTCTGCATTAGTGATAGGATAGGATTGTATGTTAGTATGTAGATAAGTCTTAGTATGAGTTTAGTTCATGAGTCAGGTCAGTCGTCTGAGGGTATGGGAGATCTGATTGGGTTAGTCAGTATAGGCATTTCCCATGTCCTCCTATACTTACTTGTGTTTCCTCTATCGTCCGTCCTTCTTATTTGTGCAGGGTTGGCTTTTCGAAGTTGGCCATTATTTGGAGGGGCGGGAGGATGGCGGGACAGGAGGATGAGCGACTAGCCACATCTTTGATATTAGACCCATTCTGTTACGGGGGTGGACATGTATTTCCATTTTGGACGGGTTAGTTAGGCAGGTTTGGATCCTTCAGTTGGATTTCGCTCAGATGACTGAGAGGGTCTGGGGTACGGGCAGCTATGAGGAGCGCGTGGCTCAGATCGTGAGAGAGTCATTGGATTAGAGGCAGTTCGCCGGACGGATGCTGAGATTGCGGCCTCAGCCCATTGATCGACAGGGTAGGCCCATGCGGTTTGACGGGGCTAACCTGGATGAGTTCCTGGAGGTTTTCGTCATTTTTGGGGATGGGCAGAGATGGACCGAGGCGTCGAGGGTTAGGCAGGTACGACACTGGGTTGTCCCGGATCTTACACATGATGTGAGTACCATGTCACACACAGCGCAGACTTGGGCGGAGCTTATAGCGACGCTTAGAGAGGCGTTCACCGTTGACAGATGACGCGGGCTGCGCAGAGAGGTTGGGGATTACATCCCGGAGCTCAGGATACGCCCGCGAGCACAACTAGAGAGGGATGAGGAAGATGAGGGGCGATTGCGACAGCAGCAGAGAGAGAGTGAGCAGCCAAAGATTCCACGCAGGCCTAGGACAGGCAGGCGTAGAGGACGTCAGGATCGAGGGGATGATTTGGAGGAGAGGGATCATGTGCTGATTAGTGATGTTGGGAAGGTGCTCCCCACGGAGGATTTGGGGGAGGGGACCTTACCGATAGGATCTCAGAGGGAGGACGATTCATCTACCCCTGAGATTGGGACAGTGCCAGCGCCAGAGACATGTCCGGCTGAGATAGGGATTAGAGACCGTGGTGTGCCTGAGACAGGTCAGGCTACTCCACCTACACCCATACGGGATGGGGAGGAGGCTTCCCTGCAGCTTGTGTTGACGATTGCTTCGGTCCGGCCTACAGAGACAGATACCATGGAAGGAGTGGTTCCCGATACTGCATTGGAGAGGCCTTATCGATGGAGAGACACACGGGACATGGCATTAGACCTCCCACAAAGGGAGTTACTGCTTATGATAGGGTCTGCCACTATAGGACCGATAAAGGAGCACGAGGAGCCTCAGCCTGAGTGGCCGCGAAAGACGACGCCGATGCATGATGAGTTAGGGCATGATGGGCAGAGGGTCCAGTCTCGGTCAGAGCCGACAGTGGAGGATGGTGAGAGAGGTGCGATGGGACCCTCATCATTGAACGGATCACCGTTACTGAACGAGAGTCGATTGGATGAGCAGCCAACTGAGCCTGAGGGTTCATTGACTGCCCAACTATATGATATGGAGTCTCCTAGGATGCAGATGCGACAGAAGGTATCCCAGCCCTCGCCCATGGACATGGAGACAGAGCGAGTTAAGGCTGAGGTTTTGGGGCTAGATAGAGAGGGTCTCACGGAGGACATGCAGACCCAGCGAGTGGAGACGTCACCACTAGACTTTGGGGATACTCCACGACGAGATGGTGATCAGACTGAGGCCAGTATGAGGGGCCACATTGAGATCGGCGCGGAGCATACCCAGGATGCATCTCCGACTCATGAGGAGGAGAGCTTGTCGGAGTCTCGGGGACCGATAGATCATGAACCTGTCATGAGGGATGCATGGCTAGCCGCGGAGATGAGATGGATGCCATCATTACATTTTCCAGGCTGGCTGGCTTTTGAGCGACTGGGCCAGGCCGCGAGACCACACTTGTCGGTTGATCAGACCACTGGTGGGCTCAGGGTACTGTATGATGACTTAACCTTGCAGATGAACTATATTGGTAGTGGCCTCGTAACAGCTCGACAGGTGATAGAGCAGGTTCGGGATTACACGAGGAGAGTTGCCATCCGATCCTTTGAGTTGAGTTGCGACAGACAGATGGAGCACGATGCACTGAGAGAGGTGGTGAGTGATCTCCGTACTTTTGTTGAGGGGAAGGAGGTCCAGACTCTAGAGGAGGCCAAGGCGGTCCTCAGGATTCAGGAGAGAGAGGCGAGTGATTGGCGAGCCCACGTTCAGAGGGTGCTCAGGGAGTATGAGCCACCTGCTGACGCGACAGATAGAGATAGGCTCGAGCGCAGGGTTGTCCTTGAGACCGTGCGATCATCTCAGTTGGAGAGCCAGGTATCAACTTTTGTCAGGTTATGGCGAGAGACTGAGAAGCAGACACAGAGACTCTTCTATGAGGATGCGGCCACAACCAGATGGCAGGAGGAGGTTGGGATGAGGAGACGGACAGGAGAGGAGCCTATGCCTGAGGGCGAGCGTACGCAGGCGGAGGAGGGGCTTCAGGCGAGATTGTTGTATGATGCCTCAGTGCGAGAGTTGGTGGGAGTGATGGAGCATGTCAGGAGACTCATGCAGACCGAGGTTGCACGAGGAGAGTTCAGGGTGCAGTGTAAAGGATCAGTGCTCTGGAGCGGGAGAACAGAGGACTGAGGGACACAGTACGTGATCTTGTCACCAACACCGAGTGGGCAAGACAGTCCACCTCGAGGCTCGAGCAGAGGATTACTGACTTAGAGGAGAGTCGGAGGCGTCAGGCCAAGATAGATGTGGTCGACGAGAGGAGGACTGAGGAGCAGCAGATTCTTATCAGACAGGCATATGTCTCTCATGAGGTAGAGTCAGGTGGAGTGAGGTTAGACATCCCTCAGCGAGATTCACGGACAGAGGAGCCATTTGGGGCTATGGGGATGACATGTGAGGAGGCAGCAGTCGTCGACAAGCTCATGCTTGAGCCAGACGAGATCGAGAGGAGGAGAGAGGCAGAGGCACGAGGTTTGGACTGGGTTTCTCCCTCAGAGTTGGCATTTTAGAGGGATGCATGGCAAGGATTGGGGGGCAGACATGACGAGCGAGAGAGAGTTTCAGAGCTACGAGATGTCATGCCACAGGAGGACACGAGCGGGTCAGCAACAGTACTGTCGACGACTCTGCCGCTTACACCAGCTCCAATTTTGGGGCCGATGGACGACATAATGCACCTCCTTTCTTCAGGGTCTGGGAGATGTGACGAGGAGGCGACGATTGAGAGAGCCTCGAGGATGCTGAGTCCTGACACGGTGGATAGGGCCGTACACGATGTGACAATCCGACTCGAGAGGGCACAACCTCAGATCCTACCCAAGCCTAAAAAGGCGAAGGTAGAGGGCAGCGGCATCGACGACGTATGCTCGTGGTGTGACAGAGGAGTGCATGACAGAGTCGCTTGCCCCGCCTTCCAGGATGACCTCAGGAGGCAAGTCGTGCAATTCGATGGGCGGGGACTAGTCAGGGATATGCGTGGCGCTCGTCTTCCAACAAGACGCCACGGTGTTAGGAGAGTTGTGTATGATAAGCTAGGCCTGAAACTGAGAGAGGATGAGTGACCGATTACATGACCACGAGATGCATGAGGTGCCAGACTGTGAGATCAGAGAGAGGGTCGGTGAGGACGAGACGACTGTCATGGGAGATAGGTTGTTGGGCGCGTTTCATATTATTATCTTATACCTTGAGGGCTTCAAGGCATGGACATGTACGCCTCACGACTTGTACATTGAGAGTTTTGACTCTAGGATTCAGGGTTTGAGTCATGTACTGTCTGTAGTGGTGACCATACTTGACTCATGCTTCAGTAGACTATACATACATGATGGACTACTGGTTTGAGTAGACTAGGCTTGAGTAGGGGTTTCAGAGATTGCCCTGGGCATAAGAGCCCAATTTTGTGTGAGCTTTGTGTGAGTTTTGTGTGAGCTTTGTGTGAGATTTGTGTGCATTTGATATGAGTATGACTTTTTAGTGTAGGACCTTGAGCTAGTGAGTGTCGTTGTGGGACACATGATTTCTTTTTAGGGACGTAACTCGGGTAATCGGGTTATGATACCCATTTGAGACATTCGATTTCTTCATGATTGATACTGAGATTCAGAGCGTATTGCGCAGATGTGTTACAGGCTTGATTCAGACTCATGAGTCTTGTGAGGAAACAGGGAGCCATGAAATATTCTCACAGTGTGGATTTGTGCTCACTTCCCTTGCATGTGTGATGTTTGTATTCATTTGTGGTTGTGAGTAAGTTGTTTGATTATTGAACAAAAGGGTTACTGACTTTGATTGCATATGAATTAGTGTGTGAGAGTCAGTGAAAAATTGTTCGACAAAATGCATGAAAAAAGGCTGAATCGGAAAGGCAGCCTAAATGTTGGATGGGAAGGGGGCCCGCTTGAGGAGCCACCCGTATGTCTCAGGGGAGAGGGCTCGTTTGAGGAGCCGCCTGTTTATATATGTGGGATGAAAGTAAAAATTTAGGATTATAAATTATTCCGTGAAGATGAATAAAACTTTGATTTTTGCAAAAAACTATCAGTGGATAACCAAGCTTGAGAAAATATGTTCATATAAAATGAGGGGTTTCTTCGAAAAAGAAACTTGTTTGTGAGGCTCTAGGGTCGGCGGTCGTATCTACCATGATCAAGCAGAACGACTACAAGCATTGAAAGTTGGCTCAATAGTATTTTGGGAGGCCTAAGCCGGGGGCTAAATCGGCATCGTTGGGGCAAACCCCCAACGTGGGCTGCTGTCCCGCCTAACCAGGACAGCGGACCCCTAGCTTAGCATGAACCTATAGACAGAGGAGTGACCCGCACCATCATCCATAGCAAATAATGTATATAAGCGGGGTATTATGGTTATTATTATTTATTACTTACTATTATTATTATTATTATTATTATTATTGTTTATTATTATCCATATTACCATTATTACTATTATCATATGGGAGGGTTAAATTAAGCCAAATACCGGATCACTCCAAAGGCTCTAACTAGGGCGACTGCTAGGGGGTACTTAGACCCAAAGGTCAGAGAGTCGCCTTAGCATTGTGCAAGCAATGTAGGCAACATCGTGGCTTAATGGCACGATGAACCGTAGTTTGGCCCGATCATCCAAACTATGGTCGGCTAAGGGCAGGACTATAACCCACCTATGACTAGACGCAGGGTCGGGTTGAGTCTTGATTTAATTGCATGGAGTGAGCTACGTCCAACACTATGTCTGTCACAAATTGAGCTGCTCAAGAGGGTGTGCTCTTATATGATAAGTCACTCAGAGGAGTATGCTACTTATTTCGATTGCAGGATAAGCTACCCTGAGGGGTATACTTTGGTTTAGCTTAAGCTGCTCTAGAGGGGAGCTACCTGCGCTTGTTGTGTGCTGCAGTTTGTCCCACTCAGGGCAGTTGTCTTGCCTAAAAACCCGCGCCCGAAGATGACGGTTCCTTGACAGCCTGATTCAGACGACACCCAACGAAAACCGGAAGGCGTCTAGGACAAACGAAAGGGGCTGGTATTTGAGCACTAAAGCTAACCTAGGGCGGTAGTATAACATAAGTATCCCTGTGAGTCAGACAGGAGGTGCAGGTTGGAGTCCTACTCGCCATAGGGATGCCGCAGAACTAGAGTACCAAACCCCGAGCTGAGTCCTTCCGAGTATACGGATTTGGTTATCCATCTGCTCAGTCTATGCATTTGATTGTGGTTTCGCCTATACTTTCTAACCCTTACCCAAAGCGACGGGGACATCGCTTAATGGGGTCTGGGAGGACTGTTGCAGCAAACACCCTTACAAGGGTATTTGCCGTCCTTTTTAAAAGTCGCACTTGGCTCATCCTTGATCAACGAACGCGTCGATAAGGTAAAACCCGTCAGGGCGCTCACCTCGGCAGCCTCGCTCTTGGCGAGACTCTGAGTCAAATACGACCGGTTTAGAGAGTGTGGGGCACGCATTATTGCGTTGCACTGCGAAGTGACCGTTAGTCCTCGGCAGTATCAGGGCGGCGGAAGACATCAAAGCCATAGGATCCGGTTACCTTTTCTGTAGTTTTCATGTTGGTTATATTTTTATTTTATTTTATAAAAATTAACTTCACTCCGCGAGCCGACTCAGCCTCTCACGGGTACGTCACAAAGAAGATGAAGACCCAKCCTTGAGCACAYGCAGGAWGAATGTGTTTGGCGATGCATGGAAGGGCGCGGCGTTGGCAGACCTGGTATGGGGGAAAGTCGAAAGCTTGACAGAACATGCCGAGCGCCCGATGACCAGCCTACCAGGTAGCTACGATCCTAGGCGCGGGTGGTGTCTCGACGTCTTCTGACGGCCAAAAGGTTGGCCGGTAGGCCAGGGYGGAGGCCTGGTTTGTGCAGGTGGGACCAATCACGGTCCCGCGAACTATTCATATGCGGGTTCGCGCCTACCTAGTTCAGATGTGGGCTTCGCCCTATTGGTTACGGTACTGGACTTTTGAGCGACAAGTTTGGGGTTCAAGATTAGCAAGCAGCGATGGAGCAAAGGAGCACGACCGACAGAGACTGAGGGGTCAATGGTCTTAAAGGACTATCCCCCTTGGTTTTGTCGGACGGGCCTAAACCTGGGTTCGACTGGGGGGGGACCGAAAGGGCGTTGACAGATCCCCGTCCTCTTCAATTGTACTATTTTTAATTTTGTTGATTTTTATTTTATTTTATTTTTTTTATTTTTATTTTTTTCCCGTCTGTTGACCAAGCCGGAGAGCTGGCTCCGATACCACCAACGGTGAAGAAATACCGCAAGAGGAGGACCAAAAAGAGCTGTGTAGAGAGAGTTAAAAAGTGCTTCAAATTGCCGAGCAAGAAGAGGGATGGGGACGGCGATCGCATTGTCAACCCCTTTTTTTTGGTTAAACGGGGAAGTGATTCCCCCTGTGGGCTGCTGAGGACGGCATTACCGTAGGGGAGCGGTGGAGATCTCCACGGGTGCCCACCACGGCGACCGAGGGTTTGAGCGTGTGCCGCTCTTGGCAGGCCGGGGCCTGTTCAGAGCATTGATGGGACTCCTCTATCYTGCCCGTTTTGAAGTGCGGTCCGAGGATTCCGGATTCAACGTGCATGCGAGCGGTGGGTGATCAGCCCACGAGGCGGAAAAAGCCTGAGTGGAGGGACCAGCACCTGCGGGTGCACCATCCCCCAACCACGTTTTGTTGTGAGAGGTTTGAGCGTGACCAGTCCTGCGGGATCGGTGCCGCTGGGCCTAGCTCAGCTGGTGCACTTGCGAACTGTTGAAACAGGCCTGTGGGACCAGCACCCGTAGGCCGAGCTCAGCTGGTACACTCGCAGGCTGCTGAAAAACAGGCCTGTGGGACCAGCACCCGTAGGC